CACGCTCCCCCTAAAACCTCGTCCAAGTTCAACTTGCGTAGACATTACAGTATCATGGTCGGTAACACATATAGCCGTCCATCCATGGACGACCATATGAACCGTTTCGCAACAATGGCGATCCACTCGCTGAGAACAACCATCCAGCGAGGGGAACACGGCGAGTCGTTGAGACTCAAGCCGAAATACACCAGGCAAGGTGGAATTTCGGCTAAGAAGTCAGCTGGGACTTCGTATTTCGAGAACCAAGACGGTACCTGCGGGTACCGTTCATATCGGGATCGAGGTTGAAAGGTCGTCGCCTCGATCCACTCATACGCCACAAAAATTCCGAGGGCGTTCCGCATCCGACGCTCGAACTTGAGCTTGTCGTAATACCTCGGGTTGCTTTCCCGCTCTACATACTCCTCAAAATTCGGAGGAAGGATGGGCTTGTCCCAAGCCAAGTACTCGACCGCCGGCTCCTCTACCCGAGCCGGCAAATCGTCCAACACCCGCCTTAAATTGGCGACGTAACCACGGTCTCCCTCCGTACGAAACGCCCAGGTGTCAAAGTCCCACTCGACAGGGATGGGGCGGTTACACGGCGTCCGTGCAAGCCGACACACCAGCGCTGCCATATATTTCTGACGTCGCCCGCGCCCCTCGCAGCGATGCTTCGGCCACACGTGCTCCCCCTCTACCGCGAGGCGGAAGGAGAAATCACGAGACCACACAGCCCGTAAGCTGAGACCCCCGGGGAGAGCCCCCGTCACGTCCGCATACCGCCGAATCAGGTGACTGTCCCGTAAACCCGCGGCATCGAGAAACGGTGCGCGCTCGAACACCAGCGGGTCATCGACCATGTTCTTGTCGCGTAACTCCCGTGGAGCCGGCCAGCCGTACAAACTCGGACCGCCCGTCTCATCCGGTTCCCCGTATGGGTTATGGAACCGTTCCATCACTCTTGGTACTGTCCCCCGAGTGTCTCCCGCCTGGAACGGCGTTCTTCGCGTGCAGCCGATGCCGCGTGAGGGAAATACGAGGGATAACAAGAAGGAAGGAAAAAGGGGGAAAAGAAAAAATGGGGAGGTGAAGGGACAAGGGGGAGGAGACTTGGGAATCTCGAGATACTTCCGAAACCAGGCCGGATTGTTGATCTTCAAGCTGGCCGAAAAGAGGGAAATCTGGACCGGTTCTTCGGCACTCGCCCGCTCGCTTCGCCACACACGACCTCCCTCGTCCTCTCTCTGTCAATACCCCGGCGCTGCCGCCCTTTTTGGCAATTATTTCTACCCTACATACACCCGGGGACGCCTGTTTCTCTAAGAAGGGGGATCTGTAGTGCATTGTGCTATGTAGCGGGACAGCTGTCCCTAGCGGCCAGAATCGCGCTCGCCGCCACCACGTGTACCACGGGTACCCGTGGACTCCCCTGCCGCTCTACCGGACCTCCCCGTGGACACGTGTAATCCCTCCCCATCCCATAGGGCCTATGGGGGCTGTACTTGGTCCCCTCGGGGCTACACCCGTTCTTCCCTAGTTATTCAAATTTACAGTATAATTTAGCTTCGCCATTACGGCGACGGGGACTATATAGTTAACTCGATACTCAAAGTAAAGAGGCACGAAGCCTCGGGTCTTTTACCTTGGTTTCTGGATTCCAGGTTGTAGCCTCGACTCGGTACTGGCTCGCCCATACCGACCGAGCCATCTACACCTCTGGAATCCCAACTGCCTTCCCCGCGCGCGTCGATCACCCCGCGCGAGACCTACGTTAACTACTGTGCTCTCCGTTTTACTAGCTCTGTTTTTCCTTTAATTCCTCCCCCTTTTATTGCTGACTACCTTGCTACTTTTCTACCGCGCAAGCCGCGCCCGGATCCCGGTTCCGGTCATCCACCGGGTGGTCTCCCGAATTTCCTTACGCGTCCGAACGCGCGTCGCTCTGCCTACAGCCGCCACACGTGGCTCTAGTGCACGACACTCCCTCACACTAATCCCCCCTCGTTTCCAAGTGGTCGGGACGTGGGTAGTTACATTACCTTTTGGTACTCTTGTGGAGGGAATAACTACAGAGGTTGAGCCCGCACTGGATCGCCAGCGCGAGCAACTACCGATCGTATTGGAAGAGGTCTAAAATCACAGCGTCGATCGCCAGTGATCATCGACGATGAACCATGCGGATTCCGCCGGAGAAGATACCGCCTCCGGGCGAGCAAGTACCCGCAGTGGCAGAGGCGCACAGCGCCCCCGGATCGACAATCTGGAAGCGCTTCTAGGCCCACCGTCTACCAGGGGCCAGAAGACCCCTTCGGTTTCCGACACCACCGCAGGGCTACCGGCTGGTGGGGGGAACCGCGTACAAGTACTGTACGACGCGTTACTCCCGCGACTACAAACCTGGATGGAGGATTTCCTCGCTGAGGAACTACCGCAGGTCGTCCAGGTTTGCCTCGACCGAACGGCACCAACACTGGCGGCGGAGCATGCGGACACAACGCTCCGCGCCCTGCTGGACGAGAAGATCGCCCCCCTCGTACGCGACGAGGTGGTGGCAGCGCTCGCTGCGGAGGAGGACGAATCTCCGACGGCATTGGCTCTAAAGGGAGCTATTAGCTCCGCCGTGGCCATCCGTCTGGCCACGACATTTACCGAAACGGGAGGCGCGGTACCGCCGCCGCCGCCGCGCTGTGAAACCGTTCCGGACTCAAGCTTTAATATCGCTGATCCGACCAGCGCCGTACCCGGGATTGATAGGATGGATCCTCACGCGGAGGCCAGAGCCATCTATCTCCAAACCGTTCACGGTGCTAAAGGGAGGACCACAGAAAATGTCCTCCCCATACTCGCCGGTACGGGCGACCCCCGCGGGACAGACACCCGCCTGGGGCTCCCCGAGACAGAGAATCGGGACCCGTACCGGTTGAGCACAAGACGTGCACCCCGAACGCGCAGAACCGAAGCGGAATACACCCGGTTTCCGATGCAGAAGACCCCCGTCACAGGACGGATGAAAACCGCGAGGAACGCCGCTGGCGATACCGCGATAACCGCGAGGCACGCCACGGGCGATACCGC